AGCCAAAGCCAGATGCTCAACTGACTGAGCCACCCAGGTGCCCCACATTATTCTATTTTCTTATTTTTTGGTCTATTTATTTGCTTGATGTAACAGACCACTCTGGCTGTCACCTCACCTACTTTGCACAGACTCTTTCAGCACCTTAAGCAATCGTAGGCACGTCCTCCACGAACTCCTCTCGCTCCTCCCTTCTTCCAGTTGGTCAAAATCCAGTGCCAATCAAACCCTTCAGTTTTCTTCCACAAGTTTTCTATAAGAGAGGACAATTTACTAAGGAAGCATAAATACAAGCTTTTAAAATTGTTGTTATTCGTGGGTCAAAAATATATACACATTATTAATCAGGAAAGTGGGTTAGATATTGCCCTTTCCCGTAAATTTTATCTCACATGTTGAAATGAAAAGTCTTTTTTTTTTTTAAGTTTATTTTGAGAGAGTGCATGCGAGAATGGAGGAGGGGCAGAGAGAGAATCCCAAGCAGGCTCTAGCACTGTGAGTGCAGAGCCCAGTGTGGAGCACGAACTCACAAACCCTAGGATCGTGACCTGAGCCAAAATTGAGTCAGATGCTTAACTGAGCCACTCGGGTGCCCCAAAATGTCTTTAGATGCGTGTATTCCAAGATTATCTGAGTCTTACTAGAACCAATTGTAACGCACTAAAACGTAAAGTTTTATGTTATATTTACGTTGACTACTGAGTTTTAGAGCAGAAATCAAATTCTTGCGTGGAATCAAACATGCCATGCTACAGATTCATAATTTTGCACTTGGTAGGATATTTCTTATTGCTGCTCTTGCAAATTACTGCAAGTTAAGTGGCCTAAAACAACACAAATTTTATGGTTCTGGAGGTCAGAAGTCAAAAATGCGTCTCACAGGCCTAAAATTAAGGTGTCAGAAGGGCACTGTTCCTTCTGGGGGCTGTAGGACGGACCTTCCGGGCCTTTTCCAGCTTCTGAAGGTTGCCCACATTCTCTGGCCAATCACATCACCTCAGCCTCTACCTCCATTGCCACATCTCCTCGTCTGACTCT